TAATAACCCTCCTATTTTTAAGTCAGGAAAGCCCTCTAATAGCGCCCACACTTTCCCGTATCTGAGCTCCTCATCCTTCGTTTCTCTCTCTCTTCTCCAATATTTCTATTCGAGGGGACAGCTCACTCTGTTCTTTCTCTCTTTTTCCTATTTCTCCTTCACACAGCCCTAATTTCGAGGTGAGCAGCATGCTGCTCCTAGTAGCCCAAATGCTTCTGCTAGCACCTGCACCATTTTTAATAAAAAAAAATGGGCTCAAAATTCCCATTTGCGCTCTCTATGGAAATTTTGCCACGTTTTGAAAGCACTAGAGTGCTTCACGTCCCCTCAAACTTCATTTTTAATTTGGCCCGTGCAAGGCAGAATGAACTTTCCTAGTACAAACAACCCTCCACATTTTTATTTTTTAAAAATTGAAATACGGGACTTGTGAAAGCAGGTATAGACTTCAAGAGCCAGGAATGTTGTTATCGTTGTTTTGACTTGTATATTGCTCTATAGGGATAGAGCACTCGCTGGGCAGTTTACAGCATAATTATACAAAAAACACGTTGCCAGCCTGCAAGCTGGGTACTCCTTTTGATTTTGCTCCCCTTTGAAGGACGAGTCCATCTTGAGCCAGAATGGACCTGTGTAACCCCCTAGACTTCTTGTGCATCCCCATTTCTGCTTTATTTAGAGCTGTATGCATGTTAGTGTTGGGGAGAGGTGATTGCGGCATTGCTTGGGAATTCAAAAGAATCCCATGCTTAAGTCTCAAAGATTAATCACTGGACAAAGCAAGCTAATTTACATGTTCATAGAGCCGAGAAAAGCACCTCCTGTTTTAATTTCTTAAGGATTTTCATCTTCTAACCAAGGAATATGAGAAAAGTACCTCCTGTGACATGCAAATGTTTTAATTTCCTAAGGATTTTCATCTTCTAACCAAGGAATATCTTTAACATCTTTTTCTTCTTAACTAGATTGGCAGACTGTGTACATTTTGCTTTGCACTGATGCTGAATTCCAATCTTTATATTTTCCCCCTAGATCTCTATAGGCTAAAAAATACTTGGCAATGGGGGATCACACTCCCTACATGCAAAGGGTTCAGTGCACCAATCAAAGTGATTCCTGGAATCTTTTCCTCTCTTGTTCCAAGCATAAATGAGCAAAGTTTAGAGGCACCATCTTTCTTTGGACTACAATTCCCAGAATCCCCAAACTGGGCCAGCCTGTTACGTTTCTGCAACCTTTCAGGTGCAGACTCCAGCTTCATACCTACAGTTTCAACGACAGCCCAACATTCCTCACCATTTGCGAAGTTGTGATTAAACATAGAGAACAGCAGGCTGGAAAAATCATCTGTAAGCGGTACTAAAAGTGCGTGTAGAGTCAAATGAGGAAATCTGTAAGGTTTGATACTTAGAAGCTTCTATCCATTGGGACAGCTGTTGTTATGGACTGCAAAGTCAAGTTATGCAATATAGTGAAAGGGCTTCCAAGATATGTATGTACAATATCACGCTGGCTCTCAAATTTATAGAGAGCTTAGCAATTTTACTTTTCTGGGGCTACAACTGCCAGAAATCTCAAGCTACCATGACTGGTGTCACAGAATTCCGAAAGTTCTTGTTAAAAGTGGTTCCCAACCTCGGGTACCTGGATCTCATGGACTACCAAAAGCCTTCATCACTAGCTGTACTGGCCAGGGGGTTTCTGGTAGTTGTAGTCCAAGAACATCTGGAGACCTACTGTGTTAAAACAAAACAAAAACCCTTTCCCAAGCTATACATTTTAGCACACAAAGGAGGAAGAGGGGTAGCACTTGCCAGAGATAGGGCGCTGAAGTGGTACTAGGCTGAAGCAGTTTCACTTGTAGATGTTGAATAATATACAGTATCCTGGTTCTCAGAATGCCAGCCAAGTGGAGTCAGTAGGAGCAGTCTCTGGACACCGCCATGGGGCATTCAGAAAACATCTGATGTCTGTGGCAATGCAACCTTCTCAAACCCCCCCCCCAAACTTCTAAACATGAAAAGTTGTGTTCTGGGTTAAATGCAAATACTGTGATGTGCCATCAAGTCACCTCCACTTTATGAATGAGCCATCTCCAAAACGTCCTGTCCTCAGCTGCCCTGCTCAGGTCTTGCAAACTCAACCATTCCATTAGGGAGTCAACCCATCTCGGATTTAATCATCCTCTTTTCCTGATGCCTTCCTTGCCAACGTGTCAGACTCTTTCCAATAAACAATAGGAGAGTTGCTGGTTCACAACTCTTTCAATCAACTTCTTCATCAACATAAAAAAGGGCAATGGACTGTAATGAATGAAAGAACTGTTTTCATTATGAACTGCATGAAAGTACATTAAAAAAACAACAAAGATCACCACATTTATTTAGTAACTGTAAAAAAGGGCAATGGACTGTAATGAACGAAAGAAATGTTTTCATTATGAACTGTATGAAAGTACATTAAAAAAAACAAAGATCACCACATTTATTTAGTAACTGAGCCGCACTGCTCTGTATCTTGGAAAATGCTGTTTTCTCACAAATAAACTAATTGTAGCCACACCTCCCCTGATTTCTTTTTATTTCTAAGTACAGTTAGAAGCTGCCTTGATTTTATGAAAGCTTATGTCATAAGAAATCTCGTTCCTTTGCTACAAAACAGACTAAAAACTGGAGTTATTTGCAATTCAATGTATATCATGTAAACAATGTGGAGGGGGGAGGAATCAACATTGACAGTGGAATAAATATCGAGTCTAGTCACACACTCCAACACAGCTTTCCCTCAGGGGAAAAATAAGTACAGTCGTCACCAGAAGGAACGCTGTCTGTCTGTCATTCAATGTGGGGAAATCCCCAGGGAACCCTGCAACATTCAATACATGTGACCAGGTGACTATGTTACTAATGGAGATTCAGGGCTAAAGGAATGCAGAGAAAGAGAACATTTCATTTAAAACAACAATAACAACACAACATCTGGGATTCTTAGCATGAAGAGATGTATCCCGTAGAATGATGATGTCATACCAGACAGAAGAAAACGGCTTGTTTATGAAGTTCTGACCTAGCAAGGCTCTGATATCTTAAAGCAAATCTCATCAAACAGAGGTCATAATCCAAGAACTGCTGGGTCCTCTTTACAAAGGTTTTCAGAAAAGATTGAACTGCTGGATAGTTGAGTGGCTTAGGTCTCTGGCTGTAGAGCCAGAAGTAGGGATTTCAAATGCTCATTGTGCCTCTTTGGGAAGGGCTGGACTCGATGATCCATCGGGTCCCTTCCAGTTCTGCAGTTCAAAGGTTATTATTATATGAACATATTATAATAGTCAAGAATATTATTATTAATACAGATTTAAAAGTGATAATTACTGTTCCATAAATGAGATCTTCAATGGCGTCTGACACGGAAATCTATCATCACATCACTTTTTTAAAAAATAACCCAAAAAGCATTTAAACTATAAAATAAGCCATAAAATTGAAATAAAATTGTAAACTCCAAAGGGCAAAGGGCCAGTTCTTCATTCTACCAATAGAAGAGGGCTGGACGGACAGATGAATCTTAGTTCAACACTGATGACAGATAGGATACTATCCTCCGCCACAATGAAAAGCGGCAGGTTAGCTTTTAGGATGCAGGTTAGGTGGGTTGGAACATCCCTTGCCAACCAGCAGAGCAACATGTGGCTAGGAGGCCAGCCCTGCTTCTGCTCCCACATCTGCCCTCCCAAAGGAATTGCCTCTCTCTGTCTAGGAATCCTGACGTGGTCATGTTCCCTTCTCACCATGCCAAGATCCAGGTGGGAAAAATTACCAGCTTTGTGGGAAAGGCCTTTGTTCATATGATAGTACATATTATTCACTCTTAGCCAATGAAGAACAGCACTGTAGTAGACCCAGGGCTTCAGCCCCAGGACTTTTGGATTATCACATCACATGGTACCCAGCTCAAGATTCTTCTTCTTTTTCCTTTGGGTTTATGGACTAACCTCAAAGTCCCTGGAAGAAAACTGCATTTTCTCAGGAGCAGTCTGTTGCTGAAAACTATCTCTGTTGTAACGCAGAGCATTTGAGGGTGGTTAGGTTTTTGAATTGGGCAATGAAGAATCATTACCTTTACTGAAGCCCTGCTCTGTTCCTTTATCAATATGGAGTGATCCGGCACCTGCATTTTTAGACTATCTAGTGAGCAGCTACAGAAACTATCCTGATGAACATGAGCACCTTCCCATTTACCACACAAATTTGCACACAAAGAAGTGTAATGGATGCAAATTGAATAAAGAAATATATCGTTGCCGGGTTATATTTTATTTTGCTGTAAACCGCCCAGAATTGTATGTTGCACTAAAGAAGCTGTATATAAATTCATGAAAAAATGAATATTTTTCCAGATTTCAACGGATTCTCAAAATGATCCGTCACCCTAGAGAAGGCTAAAAAACACTGTTCTAGAATTGTGTGAGCCGAAGGAATAACAGACCACGGTGCACTCTAATGATCACCCAGTATCATTCTGAATGTGGCTGTGTGTCTCGCCGTTTAATAACTGCAATGCTGTCCGGCAACGCGTTTTTCCAGAAAGTCTTGAGTATAGTGCATAAACTCAGATTGAAGAATTACTACTTTGGCGTATGTCGCAAATAACGACCCAGTGACCGGGGTGATGGGAAATGATATTGCAACACATGGTAGAATGAAGATTAAAAAGACACTCCAGGCGTTAAGCCCACGAGCGGTTTCCAAGAAAGGGACCGCCTCGGAAGCAGCACTGCAACAAATAAGCTTCGGTCGGCTACAGCCCAGGACACGGCTCAACATTCGACCCGGAAACACGCGGAACACTTTTAGAACATTCATAACTGCGTTCGAGCCGCTTTGACTGCTTCCTGATTGGGCGGTGAAGAAAAAAGGCGTTCCTGATTGGGCGGTGGAAGAAACAGACGCTCTCTTACATCCGGGATATTAACTACAGTTCTTTCAAGATTCCTCGCGCCAACTGTTGTCGCTTGACTCCCTTTGCTCTCTGATTGGCTGATTGATCAAGGGGTGGAGTCGATTCGTTTCCACTCCGCCCCCTTCGGCCCGCCTGTCTCGTTCCGTATAATATATGCAGGCTTTCCGCTCTCATTGGCTTCGGATGGGTCGCTTTTTCTGTGTTTGGGAGTTACAGCGTTGCGCGCATGAGCAGTTTGGATTCTGGTCGGTTGTGAGAGCGTCTGCGGCCGCTGTGAGGGTTTCGGGGGGTCGAGGAGCAGGCAGCTCTCTAGGTTAACCAATGAGGAGAAAGGGGGATCGAGGGCGGAGCCAACGGAGGAAGGTGGAGGGGGGGATCCAGTGGTGAACCAGTGGGAATCTGGGGATACCCCGTGGTAGTGAAGCAAACTGGGCAGAGAGTTGGAGTGGGGTTGGCTTGGTGGTTGCCAACTTTTTCTTAAAGAGGGCTCCTGTGCTAAAGAGCAAGCAGAAATTGGACCCAAGACGTTCCCCTTACAACGTGCAGTGAGGAGTGCAAAAGTTAATTATTTATTGATTCATTCATTCATTTCGTTGGCTCATAGGAGTGTTTCCAGAGGAAGATCGGCCATAGGTCACTCTAGAACTGGCCAGTGGGGTCCCAAGGATCCCAGGGAATGATGAATAAATGAGACCCAGCAGTTTTAGAATATACAGTGGTGCCTCGCTAGACAGTTACCCTGCATGACGGGTTGTTTTTTTGCTAGACATTGACTTTTTGCAGTCGCTATAGCGATTTGCAAAACAGTGATTCCTATGGGGGAATCTCGCTGGACAATGTTTGGTCCCTGCTTCGCAAACTGATTTTTGCTAGACAATGATTTTGACAGCTCCCTCCTCGCTCACAAAATGGGTGTTTTCGGGACCTAAGCTTCGCAAGACAGTGATTTAAACAGCTGATTGGCGGTTTGCAAAGCGGCTTTCCTATGGCCGATCTTCCCTCGACAACGACTATTTCCCATTGGAATGCATTAAACAGTTTCAATGTACAGTACCGTATTCCAATAGGGAAAATGCTTTTCGCTAGACAATGATTTCGCTAAACAGCGATTTCAGTGGAACGGATTATCATTGTCTAGCGAGGCACCACTGTAAACAGTCCTCTAATATTCATCAGTGAAGGGAAAGAATCTTGCAGGGCTAGAACTGTAATGAGTCAGTGGTGAGAGAATTACCCCTTCCTATAAGGAGAAGGAATTGCAGGTCTCTTGAATTCAAAGTGTATGGGTGGCATCTCTCCTCATGGGATTTGCTGGCATGGAGGCCAGGAAGGGCCAACAACCCCCCTTGGCTTCCTGGATTTTTCTAAGGTGTTCTGGAGACTAACTTGTAAATAGTGAGCAGGCCTGATCTTGGATGACAGGGGGTGTTGTTAATTTGATGAAAACCATGTGTGTTGTAGGTGGGTTGGTTTGACTGACCAGCCTAAGTGCTGCATTGTTTTTTTTTCTTTAAAAGTTTCTTTTAAATTATTGTTTAAATATCCTAAACTCCTCTTGAAGAAAACAATGGGCTCTAAATATTTTAAATGAATTAATAATATTATTGCTAGACTTATCAAAGAGCTGTTCTTGTACTCCTCTGTTATTTTGTGGAACAGCTGTTCTAGAGCAAAATGAGGTATGCATTTGGGTATACTCACCAAAATTAGATAACAGTTTTCTCTCTGTTTTGAAGGATTGTGAGCAAGGATCATGGAGAGAAGGAGAGATTCAGACAGACAGCTGGACCTGCCTGCTGCATTCAGAGCCCCAAGACCGACTGGTAAAACACACACACACACACACACACACACACACACAGTTACTATCGCATTTTCAATAAATATTTGGACAAAATATTAATATTTTTCCTATTGATTTGCAGAGTTGAAAATCTGTGTTTCTGAAACGGCCTAGTTGTAGTTATGGAGTTTCAAACTGAAGCCTTCCTTCTTCAGCTTGGTCTGCTTCATATGTATTGAGCACCAGACATCTTGGCAGAGAGTCATAGGGTCAATTTTAGAATAAGAAGTAAGGTCATGATGTCAACCATTGATCCTCTACTACCACTTTCTGGGTAAAACTTCAGTAAAGTGTTCCCAATGCCCCATCCAGCTGAGTGTTTCATAAGCGTATGGGGGTCAGTGGTATCAAAAGATACCCAAACAGTCACCATATAGATAGTCTAGTAAGGCAACCAGCAGAGTCTTAGCCCTACATGCTGGCTAAACACCTGATTCAAATGGGTCCGGTGCCCTAAGTGTGTAGAGTTGTAGCACCTGGACTTTCTGTATCTAACCGGGGAGAGGGAGAGATGTATGTATTTGTGGATGGTAATGGGTTTGGATGGATTAGAAAGTATTTCCCTTGCTGGTATAACCCAGCAATATTTTTTCCTGGTTGGCAGTTATTGTGTTGCTATTTATAGGTTGGTTATTTATGTTTTTATCGTGCATTCCTTCCTGTGAGCTTAAGTTGGCCTGTGTGGCTCTCTTCCTCATTTTATCCTCACTGTAGGCTACCAGGTCAGGCTGTGACAGGCTTAGAGTCATCCAATGAATTTCACTGCCTGGGGGATATGAACCCAGGTCTTCCAGCTCCTGATCAAACCACTCTGGCCTCCTGTTTCTCAGCTGGGGATGGTGGTGGTGAGGATCTTGATGGCCTTGAAGGCCCTCAGGAACCATCAAGACCTTCAAAGAGGATTGTAGCAAAGTGGATCAAAAGACAAGAAGAGAGGGCACAAGGGAGGGGAGTGCAATGAAGGGTGGATCTCCACACGAGCAAGGCAGGGGATTGAGCTGTTCGATAGCTTAGTGGTTTAGGCATCTGGCTGCAGGTCTAGAGGTTGGGAGTTCAATTCTCCACTGTGCCTCCTTGACAGGCTGGACTCCATAAACCATAGGGTCCCTTCCAGAGCTGCAGTTCTAAGATGATGGTGGTGGTGATTACTATTACTTCTTTTCCCCCATTATACCCACTGATCTGTCTTTTACTTGGCCTGGGACAGTGGCTTTTGGTGGATCTCTGAGGAAAAGACAAGCAGGAGAGAAAATGATGTTGTATCAGGGTTGTTGCCCACCAGCGTCACCACTATTTGTCTTCAAGTGGCTTGTCTGGAGAGCCACTGAGAACCTCCTGCTTACAGAGCAAAATTTGTTGTCTTGGCTTGTTAAAAGACAGAGCAAAGTGGTCTGTGCAGGAATGTGTGGGAAGGAAACCCACTGTAAATAGGAGACGTGCAGCTGTTCAAGCGAGTGGGGGGATGTGAAGCTAGGAGCTGCTCAACCAAGGTGATGCAGTTGTAGGAGAAAAGCCAGGCAAGAAGGAAAGCCCAAGTCATACATGTAAAGGGGTCCTTTAATGATGTATATATATATATATTTACTGCATGTGGAGTTTCTTTTTAATTTTAAATTAACAAATTAAAATTCAGGGTTGAAATTAAGAGTTTCTTAGTCATCAACAGGAGGGGAGCCACTGCTCTGTTTGCTGTCTTGTATTGGCTGATGCAACGTTGCTCATCCTACTGTATGAAGAATGGAGTAACTATTGAAGGCTGATTTGGCTGTTGATTTTGATTTCTTTGTTACATCTTTAATAGTTGGATTTGTTGTGAAATACAGTTCCTGCTCCTCTCTTTTGCAGCTACTGACTTAAACTGGATTAATTTAGCTTATCTCTTCACATTGTGTGCGCCCACTGTGGTCATCCGTAACCACACTTCTGCATTCAGTTTTCTCTTGGTGAACGTCTTTCTATTGCCCACCCTCTTCATTGTGCAGATGGGATTAATCCGTGCTGTTCTTCCCAGGACCCAGAGGATTGATCCCTCCTTCCCACTTCCAGAGCCGGTCAGCACCTCCCTTAGCTGTGCCTGCTGCAATTCCCTGGGGCGATCCCGCTCTCTCTAACTGGGAGGTAGATGAACTCAAGCGAGAAAACCAGCGGCTGAAGGATGAACTCCACAGATGGGCCTCAAAGGGAGAGAAGACAGAAGAAACGGGGAACAAAACCAGGTGATTCATCCTTGTTACTCATCCATTTCCCCCTTCTCAAGGGGAGGTTGGAGAACAGGCTGATTCAGGCAGACCCTCACCAGGGCAATTACCTGTTGGATCCCATTGTAAGGTAGACATGCCATGGCCAAAAAAAAGCTTTACTAGGTAGATCAGGTGCCCTTATTCCTTCTTAACTTGTCCAAGAGGCAAGTTTTGCTAAGCATCCTGTAGCTAATGGGGGAGCAATGCCTCGAACTCTCAGTGCTCTGCTTCCCCAGAACCACAGACAGAAACAAAATTCCAGCAGCTGTAACTAAAGCAGGATTGTAATGTGAGCTTTTGTGGACAAGTTTTTCCTAACAGTATTTTTGTCTTTTCCCTCCCTCTCTTTTGGTTTTGTCTGATGTGCTAGCATAGACTAACATGGCTACTTCTGCTAGAGCAGGACTGGGTTTAAAACCAGGAGTCCCTCATGGCAAGGAATATCCAGGCGGCCTGTGCAGAAGGAGTGCTTATTTTCAAAGGATAGAAAGGTCCAAATTGCAAACAGATAGGAAAATAGGACAAAGTAAAGAGTTCTTTTGAGAGTACGGGCTGTTTCAAATAAGAAAGCTACCTTCCTAAACCAAATTTATTTACACATTGTATCTCACAGAGCACGGACAGAGTGCAACTCTCCAGACCACCCAACAGGATAATAAAGATCCCACTTGACACATAAGTAACATACTGTAGATGTTGTCCAACATCATATCATAAGCCATACAAGTCAGAACGTTCTAGGAGTGTGGTATACAGTGGTGCCTCACTTAATGAGATTAATCCGTTCCAGTGAAATCGCTGTAGAGCAAAATCCTCGTTAAGCGAAATAAAAAATCCCATTGAAACGCATTGAAATCCTGTTCAATGTGTTCCAATGGGCTGAAAAACTCACCGTCCAGCGAAGATCCTCCATAGGGGCGACCATTTTTGGTGCCTGTAAAGCGAGGAATCCATCCAAAAACACAGTGGGGAGCCATTTTACACACCGGGCGGCCATTTTGAAGTCGCCGATCAGCTGTTTTAAAAACATCGTAATGTGAAGAATTGGTTCCTGAAGCAGGGAACTGATCATCGGGAAGCGAATTTTGCCTATTAAAACATCGTTTTGTGATTGCAAAAGCAATTGCAAAACAGTCATCGTATAGCGGTTTCGTCGTTTAACAAGGTAATCAAGTGAGGCACCACTGTAATTTTTATTCCTATATGTCCCACCTTGCTACCTCCCTTGCAGGATCCAAGACATGGGCATTTATAGTGCAGGCTCAGCTATTTAAAAAAAATCAAAATTGTTGATGATAGACAAGAAGTAAAAATTAAGGATGACAGACGTAGGGTCAGAAACCTGGATTCAACTTTTCAGTGACAGTCTCTCAGAGAGTCTTTCAATAATCAGAGCAGTGAAATTAAAGAGAAAAACGAAAGAGAAAAATAAAATAAAGAAACTTCCTATAACATCAAAGAAATCAGAAGGCTGGGCGAAGCTGATAGGCATTGAAGTCCGGTCGGCATCTGGAGGGCTACGGCATCTCCTGCCTGATGGAGATGCCAGGCGAAGACTTTCTTTTTAGGCAGGCATTTAGGCTAGGATTCAGCTGGATTCATCTCCATGATGTCCACATTGTGCAAACTGGCTTTTCCAGGCTTAGGTGCACAACTGCTTGTGTGACCAGTTGCCAAAGCGGGACTGCCCTCAAAACGGCATTGTTTGCACAATGGCTTGATGCAGTCAGTGACTCAAACAAGATACTGGCCTTACTATTTAATTTGTTGGCTTCATCACCAATGTTATTTCAACTTTCTAAACATCTTAATGTTTTAATATATACTATATTAGTACAATCTATTGTTATGGTAGTTTTTGCTTTTCTGGCTTTTTGGATTTTTATTATTATAAATTGCTTCAAGCGAAGGCCAGTTGGATAGACTTTAATTAATAAATGTCAAAAGACTAGAATGAGATGCTTTATCTGATGTTTGGATCTCAGGCAATGAATAGGAAGTACAGGAGAACTGATGAAGTCGGTTTTTATCTGCTGGGTTTTGTTGACTTCTTACTTGCTGATGTGTTTTGATGGATGTTTTCCTGTGTTTCAACTATAGTTTTATGCTTTTTTCATGCTTTTGTTCCTGGTTGCTTTCAGCATTATTACTGTTAAGCTTGGACAAAAATTGAGTGAAGACATGAAATAACCTGGATTATCTCTCTAACGATGTGACAGAAGTGTTATGAATGAGTCTTGGACAAGTTTAGTCTTACAATAGTGATGGCTGCTGTATTTTAATATTTATTTTTTTAATTGTGCTTTAATCTGCTTCTTTGTTTAAACCTTTTTGATGGTTTACTATGTTTTATATTTATTTTCTATGCTGTAAACACCTTGACTCCTTCATGTAGGGATAAGGGTGGTATATAAATAAAATAGTCTAGACTAGACTAGACCCCGTTCTTTCAAGGTTCCTTATACCATAACCTTGCTCTCCTGCCATAGTCTGTGGCTTACTTTCCTGTTTGCCCAGGGCTGTCTCTGTACACGGTAGAATTCAATTTGCGGCTAGCCCAGTGATTGGCTCCTTGTTCAGTAGGTCACCGAAAAGTAACACCCTGGAATCTGTTGCTTGTCGTGAACAGTTCCTAGAATGGTGCTCTCTGATGGGAGGACTTCCTGAAATGTTCTCCTTTCTCCTTTTGGAGGCACATGGATGGAGAAACTGAGCCTGCCAGTGTCCGCCACACTCTGGCCATATCCCAGCAGGCTGAGATTATCTCCCATCAGCTCCATGAGATCCAGCGGCTGGAGGCTGAGCTCACCGCTCTCCGAGTTGCCTCAGGACAGCAAGAGGCAGTGGCGGCCAGTCGGGAAAACACCCTCTCCAGCCTGCAGGAAGAACTGGTGATCCTCAGAAACAAGAGCGAAGCAGAGACGGCAATCTTGAAGATGGAGTTGGAGGAAGCCAGGAGGAGCAGCCATTTAGAGACGGAGGCGCTCAAGGAACAGCTTGAGGCGCTCAGGAGGCAAAGCCAGCTGGAGGCAGATTCCCTGAGGGAGGAGCTTGAATTGACCAAGGAGAAACATGCCCATGAAATTGGACTGGCACGGGGAGAGCTTCAGGGGGTGCTTGAAGACGTGGAAGCCACCCGGAAGAGGCAGGAAGAGAGGGCTCAGGAGGGGCTGCGCACCATGATCAAGGAGCATCAGGCAGAGGTGAGGTCCAGAAGAAACATTTTTGGGGGAGGTAAGAATCATGAGAAGGGGCAAAGAGAACAATGCAGCTTGCAGTAGGGCAGGTGAAGAGCCTCTGGATCTCCAGAGGCTTTGGACTACAACTCCTATTTCATGTTGTTTGCCTGTGGCTTCTGGGAGCTGTAGTCCAAAAGGTGTTGGGGGCTGAACTTTCCTACCGGTGCAGTAGGACTTCTGAGGGTTTATGGGAAAACAGAGAGATAGCTTGGATAATAATAAGAATAATAAGGGGGGGGGACTGGGTGAGGGGGCCTGCTGCCAGGACTGCAGTCTCTTCCTCTCTTCTCACAGCTGTCCAGGCTTTCCGAAGTCCATGACGCTGAGGTTGCCTCCTTGAAGGAACAGATCTGTGAGCTCCAGAGGGATTTGGAAGTTGAGCGTAAAGAGGCTGTCCAGGTAAAGGAGAAGAGGGATGTTCTCCAGAACCAACTCAGGTATGATCTCTGTCTCCTTTTCCCCAACGGATGGAGTGTCGTCTCTTGGTCTTACCAAAAGCAACATCCGGTTTCTCTCTTCCAGTTTATCCGAGGCAGAGCTTGCTTCCCAGAATGCCTTGGTGGTACAGCTGAAGACTTACGTTGGGGAGCAAGAGTCAAGGCAACCTAGTTCGGAGCAGGAACAACTGAAAAGTAAAATACAGGTGAGACTTTGAAAGAAAGAACACAACACACACCAAAATAGCAGGACACTCCTGCATGGATCTGTGGCACAGCTTTTGGTCCCCAGGTGTTCGTTGCACTACAACTCCCAGAAATCCTGGCCAGCACAGCTAATGGTGAATGCTTCTGGGAGTTTTAATCCAAAATCATCCGGGGACCCAGGGTTGGGAACCACTGATCTTTGGGTGTCCAGCAGCTCCAGTTTTTTTGGCTGTGAGCAGCGACTTATTATTTATCTCCTATTTCAGCAACTAGAAGATGAAAAGAATGCCCTGAAAGTCACAGCAGAGCTTCTACAGGTTCGTTTAGCGTCCCTGAATGATATCCTGACCCTACAGGAGACAGAGCTCAGCAAGAAGGTAGTTGACCTTTGAATTTGCTCAAAGCGCTGTTCTTTCGTGGTATAAATCGGTGGGCTGCAGTCATCTTGTGTATCTTCAAGAAGAGATTACTGCAAACGCGAGCAAGTATCTGGGGGATTAGTAGATTTTAGAGTTGAGGGCTGCATTCCTGGGTGGCGAGCGGATCCTTGCAGTACCAGGGCTGGATTTGTAATTATTTTGAGAAGTTAATATATTGGCGGTGGGGTCGATGACCCTTCGGCACGTGCACGTTCTCTCCTTTGCAAGCACAGCCGCACAACATTTTTCCTGCACTGGAGGAGGGGAGTCAAGAGTGGTAAGCACCTCACAGTTGCTCTACGAAGTAGGCCCCTAAAGGCAGCCATTTTAAACGGCTTCTCCTGCATGGGGGAGCAACCTGTCCCATTTCCTGAGTGCTTGGCTCCAGAAGGCAGGGTCACCAGAGGCCTCCATGCTTCAGTATGCCTTTTAGCACTTGTATTTTTTGGTCTTTCTTTTTTTTAACTTGTAAGAGAGAGTGATACGATAGCTTGAGAGCCCAAGATTCTCAGCTGAAATTACATTTGATGGAGTTGGCCAGAAAAGGTGCAGATTTGCCTTTACCTCAAAGGTCAGAGCCATCAGGTGAGCTGCCTTTAGCTCCTGAGAACTCAGCCCTGGTGTCAGAAACCTTAAGGTGCTCCTGGGGGAGCTGCAGTTCCAAGGGGATTCTGGGTAAAGTGAACCATTTCATACAATTTAAAGCCTGAGACTCTGCTTGTGTCTGTATGGTATCCTTTCACAGTACAGGCCAGAGCTAGCTGAATGACATATCCTCCTGTGGGGTTGAAGAAAATCTCCCACATAAAAGAGGAAAAATGTTTGGGTCTAGATTTTCCTTAAGGGTGACAGTTTTCTTCATGAAGCACTTTTAAATTTATTTATTTTTTTGTTGGGGAGCCGTCCATCTGACTTGGCTGCTGTCTGAAGCAACCCCCCCATATGATGCTTGCTGTGTGTCTGCTTCTCCTTGGGTTTGCAGAACGGCTGCAAGAGGGAGGTTGGGTTCTGTGTTTTAATTCTTTCTCAGGTGCAGCTCCAGGACCCTCTTCAGGCGGAGTCATCTCAGAAGCTCCAGGGCCTCCTGACTCGGTGGCGGGAGAAACTCTTTACTCTCCTGGTGCAGCTGAAATCTCAGGAGCTTGGCCACAGAGATAGCATCAAACGGCTAGAGTGGAAGGTAGGTGCTTAGAGAGACAGAAAAACTTTAGAATGATGAAAGTTTCCCTCTGAAAGAATCATGCTGGATGGGAAAAGAAAACACTCATATCCATGCATTGGCTGGTTTAATACAAGGTTGATAGCTGTTTAGGGTAGTGGCTAAGATGCACCACTGGGACGTTCCTGATGTTAGTCTCGCTTCTGCTGTATCTTTTGTGGATTTTAATGCATGTTGCTTGATTTTACTGGTTTTCTCATGAGGCATGTTTATATGATTCGACAATTTGTTTAAGCTAAATGTGATGTTATCTGTTTTTATTCTTTTTTAAAGTTTGCAAGCTGCCTTGAGTATTATCATTTAGTGGAAAGGTAGACTATAAATATCTGAGTCCTCACACTTTAGGCAAGCTGGTCTCTATCAGCCTGAGTCATCCTGACTACAAAATTAATCCCTTTATAGGCTTATCGTAAGGGAAAAGTGAAGTTGTTAGGGGCCTACAAGGCCATCAGGTCCAACCCCCTGCTCAATGCGGGAATACAGTCAAAGCATATCTGCCAGGTGTTTAAGTTTTTCTTGAATGCCTCCAGTGCTGGAGCACTCATCAACTCCCGAGGTAACTGGTTTCACTGTCCTCCTGCTCTAACAATTAGGAGGTTTTTCCTGATATTCAACCGAAATCTGGCTTCCTTTAACTTGAGCCCATTGTTGCATCTCCTGCATTCTGGGATGATAGAGAACAGATCTTGTCCTTCCTCTATATGACAGGTTTCAAACATTTGAAAAGTGCTATCATATCACCCCTTAACTTTCTTTTCTCAAGCTAAACATGCCCAATGCTTTCAGCCTTTCCTCATAAGGCTTGGTATCCCACTCCCTGATCATCCTTGTCACCCTCCTCTGAACTTGTTCCAGTTTGTTAGCATCCTTTTTGAAGTGTGGTGTCCTGAACTGGACACCGTACTCAAGGTGAGGCCTAACCCGTGCTGAATAAAGGGGAACTAGCACCTCATGGGACTTGGAAACTATGCTTCTATTAATGCAGCCTAAAATAGCATTTGCCTTTTTTGTAGCCACATCACACTGTTGGCTCATATTTAGCAATTCCAAGATCCTTCTCGCTCATAGTTTTGCTGAGCCAGGTATCCCCATCTCGTAACTATGCAATTGGTTTCTTTTTTAGAGGTGCAGTACTGTGTACTTATCCATGTTGAATATCATTCTGTTGCTTTCGGCCCAGTGCTCCATCCTATCAAGGTCCTTTTGAATTTTGTTTCTGTCTTCTAGGGTATTAGCTATTCCACCCAATTTTGTATCATCTGCAAATTTGACAAGCATTCCCTGTATTCCTTCATCCAAGTCATTAATAAAAATACTGAAGAGCACCGGCCCCAGGACTGAGCCTTGGGGTACCCCACTTGTTACCTCCTCCGAGTTAGAGAAGGACCCATTAATCATCACCCTCTGAGTACAATTCTGTTGCCTATTGTGTATTCACTTGACACTTGATCTGTCCAACTCATACCTATTTAGCTTGCTAATCAGGATATCATGGGGCACTTTTTCAAAAGTTTTGTTGAAGTCAAGATATACTAAGTCTACAGCATACCCTCTATCAGGGAGGTGACCTGATCAAAAAACGAGATCAAATTAGTTTGGCAGGATTTGTTCTCTCCTGCCATGGGACCTTACTTATCCTTGTTCTGTGATTATTAAAACTGGCTTTTTAAAAATCCAGCAGACGTGCGCGGCTACACTCTGCTATCGTTTTCTTTGAAATCAAGAATTTGAGAAGGACATGGTCACGCTCGCCTAGAGTTCCCCTTACTGCCACTGCCCGCACTAAGTCATCTCTGTTGATCAGAATCAAGTCAAGGATAGCGGATCCTCTAGTTTTTTTCTCTTTGTAGGAGAAAATGATCAGCCACACAAGTCAGGAATTTCTTGGAGGGGCCATACTTGGCAGAATTTGCCTCCCAACATATATCTGGATAGTCGAAATCTCCCATCACTACTACATCGTGTCTCTTTAAAAACCCTGCAATTTGTTTTTCAAAAATTTCATCCACTTCCTCTCTTTGATTGGGTGGTCCATAGTAGACACCAATTATCAAGTTCCTTTTGTTTTTCGCCCCAACTGGATTGATCCAGATGGTCTTGATGGGACAGCCAATCTCATCTTCCTGCATTTCTGTGCAGGAATGTGTAGTTTTGACATACCAATCTCATCTTCCTGCCTTTCTGTGCAGGAATGTGTAGTTTTGACATATATGTACTGCAACAACTCTCCACCTCCCTTTTTATTCTCTCTGATCTTTTTGATTAGTTTATATCCCTCAAAGGATTACAGCCATGCAACACATGTGAAACACTTTGAACATTTGCAAGTGTTCTGTTTCGTACACAGTATTAATTTAGAACTTTAATTCTTGCTCTGCAGGTGAAAGAGCTGGAAGAAACAGTGGAATCTAGAGATCAGAAGGTGGCAGTGTTGCTCCGCAGTCTAGAGGACAAGACGGCTGAGGTTAATATGGAACAAGTGAGGAACAAGGTAATTCATCCATATACACTGGTGGGGCCTATAATCTCTTCAGGGAGGTAGCCTCAGAAGTTATATTTTATTTGTATTGGGAAGAAGATGCCTTCTGTCCTATCTACCCCCCAGGAATTATTCCCTAGACTGTGAAGTTTTAATACTAATAAAATTGGGCTCTGCAGCAGGATTAAGAACTTTCCTTGTGTGCACGTTGATCCTGGAAGATCAAACGATGGGGGCCCCTGAAAACTATTTTTACAGGTGTTCTTTGTCAGGAAGCAACATGGCTCTAGACCTTGCTCCTTTCTTGCAGACGCTGCAGGCCGAGGCCGTGCGTGCCAACGAATCGGCACAGAACCTTCAACAAAGGGCCGAAGCTGGTGAAAACGCCCTTCGCGGGCTGGGAGCGTTTGTCGCCAGGTAACAGGAAGTGCCGGAGAAAGATGGGGAGGCAAAACTCTCCCAGCTTGCAGAAAGCATGGCTTTCGTTTCATAATTACGTGACTGCTGGCTAGGTTTATCTCTTCCTTTAGTAGGTCTCTTGCTTTTGACGCTCAACAACCAGACTTTCAATCTGTTTAAAATTCTCTTTTCTTCTTCCTCAAGAATAGTTTCCCTCTACACAGCCCTTACTCAGAGAAGTGCAGTACCCTCATCTGAAGGGCTCCCTCGTTGCCAGAGGGCTCCTCCGTACCCTCGGTTCTGTTTTTGTTTTTCCTTCACCCGACATCTTTGGGCAGAAGAAGCCAAGCGTCTGTTCTGTTCAGTGCCTGTTAAGCTGAAGGTGCTAGATAGTAAGTTGTATAAGTGCACAGAGAGCCAGATGTCCCACCTAGGAGATACCCTCATAGGTTAGCTCGCTGCTGTTTCTATATCCATAAAAACAATCCATTCTGTTTCAGTTTAATGGCCAGCAGCTTCCTTATGTCTGTTGTACCCTGCAAGAGGTTTGCTTCCTGGAGTATATCCTATAGGAAGGATGGGGAATTTGTTCCCTTCCTTGTGTTGCTAGACCATAAGGCTCATCGGCCTTAGTTAGGATAACAATTGGTCATGGATGATGGGAGTTGTAGTCCAGTAAGGAGAGTCTTCCATGCTCCATCCCTGGCCTAAGGAAGTGCTGCAAGAATAGAGGAGGGAGAAGCTTCAGAGGAGATCTGTCCCTATAAATTTGCCTGGATATCTGCTAATTCAGTGGTTCCCAACCTTGGGTCCCTAGATGTTCTTGGACTACAACTCCCAGAAATCCTGGGCTGAACAGTTAGTGGTGAAGGCTTCTGGGAGTTTTAGTCTAAGAACAAACATCTGGGAACCCAAGGTTGGGAATCACTGTTTTAACTGAATGGCAGTAATCAATCAATCAGTCTTTTAAAGCTGTCCATTAAAAAGCCGTAAATTGGAAAAAAGCCCTAACTGGCTTTAAATGTAATAAGCCTGCCTCTTTGAAGATGATGCCTGCATTGTGGTGCCTTTTGTATGGAGAGATGGATGATAGAGTTCTTTATGGTTCCTACTTTTCAGTTTTTCACTTTTTGACTCAGTGTTTAGGCATCTTTGTTCCTCATCTCAAGTCCAAGTTACATCCCATAAGAACATAGGAAAGGCCATGCTGGATCAGACTGGCCTCATCCAGCATTCAGTTCACACGGTGGCTAACCAGTTACCAATATCTTTGCTCTACAGGGTAAGCCAGCAATTTCTGGAACAGGAAGAAGCATGGAAGGCTGCTTTATCACGCCTGGTGGGGTTGGGGAACAGAGTGTCCTTTGCAACAAAGAGAGTTGACACCGTCCATGGTAAGAACCCAGAACCATGAATCAATCCAGACATAACGCGATCCGCTTGTCACCCCATCCCTAACCTTGGTATTCGTGTCTGACATAGCTTGTACGCAGCCACATCCCATTAACTAGCTGTGAAGATAACACATCTGGGATATTACAATAGATTTGCTTTGTACATGGTCTTGAAGCAAGTTCCATATTCTTTTCATGGATAGGGTCTTGAGAATAAGCAGTCGTGATTTCTTGAGGGCTGTAACATTTCAGAAATTTTGTGCATCTTCCATGACTCAGTTTTAGACAGTACATACTGTATTGCATTCAATAGTTATAATGTAAAAACTGTTTCAGATATTTGGAAATACAGTAAATGCATTTACAGCGTCAAGACCCATGGAGGTAGGTCTTGGCAAATTTTGTCGTATCTGGGGACATTTGCCACCATGGGCCACACCAACTTATTCTGTGCAAAGCCATAAGTGACCAGAAGGTAACTTATGGCTTTAAAAAACACACCATTGTTCCCCTGTTTCTAAGAAGCATGTTTTATTGAAAGGAACCTCTTCTCTTCCCCCCCCCCATTCTTTGCATGCCTGTGCACCGAACACAACCTGGTGATTCCCACCCTTGCTGTCAAGTTAAAAGGTTTTGCAACAATTGAAGTACAGTTTTATTTATGACTCTGCCACCTTCCTGTGTTAACATTTTCCCTCCCAGCATACCAATCATTCTTCAGATTATTTTAAGATTAACTCACTACACGCCCTTTCTCTGATGGCATATCTCTATAGGCAGGTGAACAATCCAGTCCTTTGCTATGCATATTTAAATTGAAGCAAGGGTAACGCCTGCTGTGTTCTTTGGGGATTATTTCCATGTAATGCTGGACCGGATTTAATACCTGTTTTTTTTTTCCTTTGTACCGCTAAATGGTTAGCCCTGTGCTGTAATAACTGTGTAAGTTTTGGAGTAAGCCCTCTATATAAATGCACCTCCAAAACCAGGCTGTTAGTTCTTCTTAGGCACACTGACCTCATGAGGCACAGTAGGGGTTTTGGGTATATTGCTCTCTTTCATCTGGTGCTATCCAGATGTGCAGGTTTGCGGCTTTCGTTCTTTCTGGGCAACTTGGCCAGTGGCCAGGGTGGTTCAGTCCTCCCAAGGGGTGCAGGTTTGAGTAAAACTGGGAGAGAGATGTTGGCACATTTGCTGAGCTGCATTTACTAGGATTCTACAACATATCTGGTGCAAAACATACCAGTGTCAAAAGTATGAGATAATATAGCTTTATAACACCCCGTGGTAGTTTGACTCTATGGTGGTCCATCACAGATCCCCTAAAAGGATTAATTCCATTGTGAATTCAGGTAACCTTAGCAATCGTATCAGTGTTCATCTAGGTCTCAAGATGAACCTTCACAGACGCACATTTGTGGAATGCTGTCAGTTTTTCCTTTTGTTTGGATTCTTTCCTGCTACGTGTCCTGCTTCTTCTATCTCAGCAATCCCTGTTCTTTCTCAAAATGCAAAAACCCTCGGAGACATAGGAATTTGGCTTATGAAGCACG